TGACACATGACTGCAGGTCAGGAGCAATAAGCAGTTGGCGGCCCTAGAAAAGTAAAGTATATAGAAGTGGCGGGTTCTAGTCCCTCATCTCCCAAGACAAGAAAAGTAAAAGATCCACAACAGTTCAAACATTTGCTCAGGGGGTTACAGCAGGTTGGTAGGAAAACCAGAACCAGAAGTTATGCATAACGAAGCCTGTTCAATGAAGAGAAACTTATCCAGAATCAAATAGATTGACCACAGGATTCTTCTCGTAATGGCCTGCATCTTGTGCACCTGAGCTCCTCTGCCAGGCATGTGCTCCCACCCCCCAGACACAGGTGTGACCTGATATGTTCTGCTTCTACATATCCAACGTGGTGGGTAGATGGACATGATCATGAGCTTGAGGCTAAGTTGTGCCAATGACCTGACCAGGCCTGACGGAGGAGCAAGCTTCCTCTGCAACACTCAACTCTCTGTTTCATGTTTCCATGAGTTACAGTTTCAAGATCATGTTCCTAATCTGGAGACCTTGGACTCCAATAAAGTCTAGGAAGGACTTCAAGGGTCCATGAAGCCCCAGATCATATGCACAATTTCATGAGCTGACTTTTTATCCTTGGGATAAGGACCATGACATTTAACAGATTTTGAAAGAGACCTATAATCTCCAGAAAGATTAAGAACCATCAGTCAAACCAGCTGGGCCTCTTTAGCATGGTTAGGTTGCCCAACTTTTAGCCTCTTCACCAANGTCAAACCAGCTGGGCCTCTTTAGCATGGTTAGGTTGCCCAACTTTTAGCCTCTTCACCAATCTGCAGAGTAACTTAAACACCAGTATGTGCTAAAGTAAACAGCAGGTGCTCACTGAATGGTTGTGACCTTAATTTTGCTTTAAAAGGCTTTCCTGGAGAACTGCTTTTGCAGTCTTTCATTTGCTGTATTATTACATTTTTGCCTTTTTCTAATCAGCTTCCCAGAGTAAGCTAGTTTGGATCACCTGGCTTCATATCTGTTTTCTTTATGCTATAACTAGACCAAATTATTTTTATGTGGTCTGAATTTTTTCCTCTTGACTGCAACAATTTCGTACACTAATCCCACATTATCCTCCATTCTTCAATGTTTTAAAATACATTTATGTCTCATTTTTTATGAAAAA